GTCAAAGATGTCTACAAAATTATCTCAGTTATTATTAAAAAACTGATTATTTTTGAAAACTTTGCCACCCTGTATCTCAAAAGTTAAGGCGTTTAGGACATACGTCCATAGGAAGTTTTTTTCTTAAAATGGGTCTAAGAATTACCTTCTTAAATATTAGCATGTGTTTAAGGAACACCCTGTATAAATATTAATGTAAAAGCAACTTGAAGTATTCAATCACTTGAAAAAGCTACTGTGCTAGCGAAACATGTTGTGATTATGATACATTTGAGGCAATTCTGGTAGGTAGGTCATTTTAAGTTTTGCTAAAACACAGAAGCATATTTTAAAAAGTTCTCTATATGACTATACTGCAGGTGATATAAAGAAATAAGATATAATGGTTTCAAACTCGTCAATGCATTACATTGGAATATCTAATGAATATACTTTCAAGAAAAAATGTTTGCAAAAGAAATTTCTTGTGTAGAAGAATGTTGAAAGGGCCAAAGTATGAATATTCATTTTCGATTTCATCTCAAATTCAACACAATTTCATATATTAGGTTCCTGCAAGTGTATTTTGGTGATCAGAGATTACTACTATTGAGTATACTTAGTTTTAAAAAACAAATAAAAACATTTTTTGTTGGCTGAAGAAATGAACTTATATTTGGCTTAGGGAATTGAATGGATTTGATTTATGATATGATTTGGTGTGAATTAACTACTATTTTTGTTTATTGCTGTATCAAAATGTACGAGTTCTGTTCAAAAAATAAGGTGAATGTTCAAATTTTGCGGGCCCTGTACATTCGATTAGCGTTTTTTTATGTTGGTACACTCGTCTCGAACATATGTTCACAGTTTCAGGTGATTCGTTTGTTGGTGAAAGGCATAAAAGTTTTTACTGTTTTGCTTATTCGGCGATTTTATCGCTCAAAGAATTTGCATCAAATTTATTGTAAAAAAAGGGAACTGAGTGCTCAAAAATACTTGAAATGTTGACAGTGGCATACGACGATTGTACCTTGAGTCAGAAAACTGTTCACAAGTGGTACAAGCTTTTCACAGAAAGTCGAGGAGAAGATGTGAATGACGACCCTCACCCTGTACCCCCAGCACATCAACAACCGATAAAAATGTTGAGGAAACGAAGAAAATTGTTATGGAGAATCGTTGAATCACTATTAGGGAAGTTGCTGATAATGTCGGCATGTCGTCTGACTCATGCCATTCTTTTTTTTTTTTGTAAATTATGGGCATGAAGCGTGTGGCAGCGAAGTTTATTCCAAAAGTGCTGAATTTTCACCAAAAAACCTTTGCATGAGCATCGCTCAGGAATTATTGAATGACGTCAACAACAATCCAGATTGCCTCAAAAGAGTCATAACTGGTGATGAATCACCATTATTAGCATGTAGTGATACAGACTTGGATAGAGCTATTCACAAAATGAATTCCATCTTAGTCAGTGTTAAAAGATATCTCGATATCAATAAATTGAAATTAAATGTAACTAAAACCAAAGCCATGATAATTACTAATAAATTTAAATACAACAAAATTGGGATAAATAATTTAGACATAAATATTAATGGAAGAGCCCAGGAGAGCCAAGACAAAAATAAGGACGCCACATGGTCGTTCGGCCGTTATCTTGAAGTTATGTGCGCCGCTTCGAGAATCTATACTAAGAAAACGCCCGGTATTGTGGGAAAACAATTCAAAAGTTTTGCATAACGTTATAATACACCTGCTCATTTGTCATTGCTTGTTCTTAATTTTTTAAGCAAAAACAACATTGTAATCATGCCTCAGCCACTATATTCACCAGACTTTGCCCCCTACGACCTTTTACTGTTTCCAAGATGCGACGATTGAGGAGATGAAAATCGAATTGCTGAGATAGCTCTAGTACATACCAAAAAGTGCATATCGGAACGTGGATTGAAAGAAACGCTGGCACAAGGGAGACTACTTTGAAGGGGATAAAATATTTTTTGAGAAAAATGACAATTAACCTTATTTTTGAACAAACCTCGTATATGTGTTTTTGTATTTTTAATTGTATGTGGAAATGAATATGTGCAATTTGAAAATGTGTCAATATTTTTCTTTGTTCAAGAATAACAACAGACGTTGAAGTACTTTGAACACAGTATATTGATCACCTGATCTTCGGCATTTTTCTATAATTATTATCTATCAATAATTATATGTTAATCGTAACTATATTTTTATGAGAAATAGAGACCTATTATCATTATTATCAACATTCAGAGGACTCTTTCAGTTGTAATATATAAATTGTATGGTATGGAAGTGAGCACAAAATCAACACCAATATATCTGACACTTGAGACTTTCTGAAGGTTGATGATGATAGTGTAGGTGGAAGAAATAGGATAGAATAGCCGAGATTTGACTAAACTCGTTGAAGTAAGCAGTAATTATAAACTTCTGGATTATAATCGATACTACAAGGAAAATTGATCACCTGGTGTGATGTCTGTGTCTAACGCCTGCTAAAACTTTATCTGTGAAAAGTACTGGAAAGGAACTACATAGTAAAGTAGCTTCTCTTAAAAGAGCACTCTGTGAGCTTCGATCTGCTTTCGGTAAATATTCCAAGACAAAATTCAATGCATCTTGAGCTCGATCCTAAAACAAATAATATTAGAATGAAAAAATGAAAAATAATATCAGAGTAAAAGTTAAATTTATTATGTCGATAAACAAATTTTTGGCGACAAAACTGTTTTCTACACATTAAATTAAGCAGTAATAAGTTATTGTGATTTAGGCCATTTAAACATATAATTTAAATGTCTCCGAATATGCAGCAAAGGTTGACATGACTTTTTTCAACGGGAGACTGTTAATCTATTAGTAACATCAGTTGCAGGAGAAGAGGTGTTCAAATTATCCTTAACCATTAGATTGAACTATGCTTTCTTATTTTTGTTCTTTAACTTGGACGAATAATAATAATAATGCTTATTCACAGAAAAAAAGAAAAGTTTTACATAATAAAATACAAATGTGAATAAACAGCGGCAACACGGAAGGAATATGAATATTGCTTGAATGTGTTATGGCCATGCTGAAACTAATAATGATAAAAAACAAAACAGAAAAATACATGAAGCAGCAATTATTATATACAATCATTAACAAATATTAGCATGGATATGTTCTGACATTTCGATAATTCATTTAATAGTTCATTTATATATACATACATATACACATACATATATACATGTACATATATAAATACACACATATACATATTTACATACACAAGTATATTATAAAATTGTGTCACAATCGGGTTTACTTAAGTCAATATATGGTAGAAGTCTTAATCGGGTGCAATATTTTAAGTCTCTTCAGGTAACAGATTCCAGTTCTAGTACATATATAACAACACTACAAACACTCATATACATATGCACACGAATATTCATATAAACATATAGGTGCAGAAACAAATTCGAGATATATTTAAACTTATAGACATTTATACATATACACACACATATAAACGGGTATATATGCGTACGCACACGTGTACACACACACACAT